AAGCCTTGTAAGTAGTTCTCTGTTTATCTATATTTTTAAGTTTTTATTTATGCTTTTTTAGATAAATAGGAATAAAAAAAAAACTATATCCGATGTTTTAAACTATGTATTTGATGAGGATAGCGATTTTAATGACACAGATAAAAGTGATGACGAGTTTTATAATGAAAATGATATAGCCAACACTGCTATTGAAGAAGATAGTGACAATGAACCTTTAGCAAACATAGGATCAAAACTATCTAAGAATCTTAAAGAGACAACTAATAACCTCAATGAGAATAAACCAATTACTTACAAATGGAAAAGTAAGAACTTTGAACCCCTTGATGATGTAACTTTCAAGGAGCCTGAAATGAAACCAACAACAAATGTGGAAACAACACCCTTTGAATATTTCAAGTTGTTTGTTAGTGATAATATGTTGAACAGCATCTCAAATGAAAGTAATATTTATATTCTGAAATCAACAGGTTCAGAGAAAAATATTTCACAAAAGGATATTGAGAAGTTTATAGGTGCTTATCTCAGAATGGGTTTGGTAAAGCGTCCAAGTCAAAGATCATATTGGGAGACATTTATTACCTACCACGGAGTTTCTTCTATTATGGGAAGAAATAAATTTGAAAATATACTTCGAAATATTCATTTTGTAAACAACTTGGAAAGGTCTAAGGAAGAAAAAGCAGATGACCGTGTGTGGAAGTTACGAACATGGATAACAGAGCTACGGCAAAACTTTCAAAAAGTTTCTCCGGAAGAGTTCCATGCTGTTGATGAGATTATGGTTCCTTTTTAAAGAAAGTCTCTCTTGCGTCAGTACTTGCCAAAAAAGCCCCACAAGTGGGGATTCAAGCTTTAGGGTCAAAGTGGCATTTCAGGCTTTTTGTATGATTTTGAGGGAAGTCAAAAAACAATTCGGATACAAGTTTAGGTGTCAGTGCAGATCTTGTAATTAATATGAGGTCTTCACTTCCTGATAAACACAATTTCAAAGTCTTTACTGACAACTACTTCACAAGCTTGCCCCTTATTGTTGAATTAAGGGAACGTAATATCTATTATGTAGGAACAATTAGAGATAAATGAATGAAGAAATGTCCATTATTGCTTGAAAAGGATTTGAAAAAGCAAGGTAGAGGAGCCTGTGATTTCCAAGTTGAGCAAGAATCAAATGTGGTTGCATTTTGATGGTATGATAACAAACCAGTTAATTTAGTTTTTTCATATGTAAGCATTGAACCACTTCACACTGTTCGGAGATATGATCGTTCGTTAAAATAAAAGATTGACGTAAAACAGCCCAACATTGTTCATGTATATAACCAATACATGGGGGAATAGATAAGTTGGATATGATGTGTGCATTGTACAAGCCAAGATTAAGAACACGAAGATGGAGCATTTATATTTGGTTTCACACAATTCAAATTGCTGTTGTTAATGCATGGTTTTGAACCGACGCGAATTAAAGATTTGTAGACCCGATACTAAATTTAGGCAATTGCAATGCTTTATTGCAGAGGTTGCAGAGAGTCTGATCAAAGTAACATCATCTTGTGGCAGACCATCTTTAGATAATACTGCACAACCTCCTAAAAAGTGTGCTCGGGTTAAAGGAAATCCTTCCAATGATATAAGAAAGGATGGCTTTGATCATATGCCAAGTTACAATGAAAAAAGACAAAGGTGTTTGTCCTGTAAGTCAGGACTTTCATATATAAGTTGTAAAAAATGTAATGCATGGCTTTGTTTTAAGAAAAAAAGAAACTGTTTTGAAGTTTTTCATTCATAATCTTTTTATGAATGTGCTAATATGTTTGGTTTATATGTAGTATGTTTAATATAAATATTTTTATAAATAGTTACCCGTTGTATCATATCTGATACAACCCAAAAAAGTGCCTAGTCATAATTTTTTTGTCTCAAATTTTTTTCTGCAATCAACTTATGCCATAAGGGTTACTTGTATTTAAAATAAAATTTTTTTGAGTCTTTTTAACTGCTTTGGGTTTTTTAGGGTTAAAGCCATGTGGGCTTTAATCTTATTGTTATAGGAGCTCTTTGAAAAGACTGTGGTGACACTAATCATCCGTATCTTTTTTAAGTACCAATCTGTTTTTATTTAACCTATTTTCTTTGTAATTTATTTTAACTACATAGACAGCGAAGTATTAAAAAAAAAAATTTATTAGTTTTTTATTTCAAAATTTTATAATGATGATAAAATTGGGTGACTGATTTAGCGCGAATTTCGTAACAGCGAATTAGCATAAATTCGAACTGGTATAAGTGCGAACTTGCATAAGTGCAAAGTAGTTGCAAAAACTAACATGAGAACGAAATGACATAAGTGCGCTAAAAGAATTTGCAAACATTGGCATAAGTGCAAATCAGTATATGAGCGAATTGACATAAGTGTAAAACAGTTGCAAAAACTCTCATAAGTGCGAATCGGCATAAGTGTAAACTGAAATAAGTGCACCGAAAGAATTTCTCAACATTGGCATAAGTAAAAATTGTTGTTTGTGCAATTTTTTTTCGTTTGTTGTTATTAAGTTGCTCCCAGTGATAAGTCCTTACGATCTTATCACAGAGCACCGCGGAAGAACATTAGCTAGGAAGTTCACGCCTCCTTCCTTACCATCGTCGCTTATTGAGCTGGAGCCAGCGTTGAACCTCAGACCTCTTGGTTCTAAGCCAGAACTCTACCCAGGTAAAAAAGCTCTATAGAATTTCTTATATATAGAATAAACTTTTGAAACATATGGCCAATAGAAATTCTATAGAACTTTTATAGAACTCTATAGAATTTCTGTAGAATCTTTTTTTTTATATAGGTTATTTAGGTGCTCCCAGAAGTTCGTACGGTCTTATCACGGAGCATAGCGGCTGAACATTTAACTAGAAATTCATTTCCTATCAATGTCGCTTATTGGGCCAGAATCGATGTCGAACCTCTGTTAATTTCTATAGAAATTTTTATAGAACTTTTTTTCTACTTTTTTTCTATAGAAAAAATAGTTTTATAGTAATTTCTATAGAAATTAATAGACATTCTATAGATATTCGATAAAGTTTCTATAGGCCATGTGTTTCTAAAGTTTATAGAAATTCTATCGGACTTTTATTTTTTCTGGGTAACCACTGCGTCACGGCTGCTTTTCTTAGCCCTTTCCTCATCTCATGTTTATTTTCAAAATTTCCCTTTAAATAGAATACGTAGTTATAAAAGAAATACTTCAATATTTTGATAAATATTAAAAAATATTTTGCATTTAAAAAAGATTACAAAAATAATTTACATTCATTTGTTATTATTTATAATATTTGTAGCCGTAGATTTACATATAATGTATACATACAACCAGATTTATAAATAATTGTTCAAAAATTTTTCCACAACCAGGAGTCTAGTCTACTTTTGAAAGAAAGTATAACGGAGTAGAAAGTTGTTTACTCAGGTAGTTTGTTCCAGAATTTGCTGATCTATTATACAAATGATTGTGTCTTGGAAGACAGTTTGGAACATACTAACGCCATATTTTAGAATGGTGAGTACGAAACAAGAAGTTAATAAGTTTTGGTAGATATACATCATTAGCTATATCAAAACGATGTATTAATTTAAAAATTTGGGTTAATGTGTATCAAAGGCGCCAAAACTGAAGGGAAACCATCAAAATCAGCAATGTTCTCAAAATATTTCTTTTATTTAAAATGTTATTAAAATTGTTAGAAAAACAAAAATAATTCTCCCCAACTATCTATAAAATCCTTCTGCATCGTTACTTTTAATCGCTAAAGCATCTGAATCTAGCAAAACTACTGTTTATATGTTTATTGACAACATTAAACTGGATGTTTAAATTAAGGAACGCTTACAAGCTAGACTTTTGATATTTTATCAAAGTCACAATAAGTTTGCTTGCCCTAACCAATAAGTTCATAACAATAAGTTTGAATCCACCAGCCCACAATTGAATCCACCAGCCCACAGTTTCATCCCATTGAAAAATATTTTAGTTGCCGTGGCGCAGTGGTAGCGCACTTGCCTCAGACACAAAAGATCCCTGGTTCAAACCCACCTCTAGGCAAGTTTTGTGACATTGGTTAGGAAGGAACGTGAACTTCCTATTAAATGCTCGTCCGGCGCTCTGTGATAAAACTGTAAGAACTTCTTGGGGCACCAAAATAAAATTTAAAAAAATTTAAAAAAATTGAAATTTTTTTTTTTTTATAATCTTCAAGTTCCTTAGATTAAAATAAGTATTGATTTTTTTGCATTAGTTCTCTTTCTCTTTTCTACAAATACTATAATGGGCACTGCTCTTAGAGCTAGCATCTGTTGTGTCATCTACTAAAATTCAGACTCATCTTTTTACTGTGACTGTTCCTAAGTGCTTATTCGTCTAGTTTTTTTCTCTCGAAAATCAGTTGTTTGGAATTCGCTTCGTCCAACTTGCTTTTCTGATTCATATAATTTGCAATCTTTTAAGTCGTTTGTCAATCATTATCTTGCTCTATAAACTTCATCTTTACCCTTCCAGTAACTTCCAACTCTAATAGTGGTTGATTGCAGCCTTGTTGGAAGTGAAGATATTGGAAAAAAAAAAAGTTTTATTTATTTTTTATTTTTTGAATTTTTAATTGTTCCGAATTTAACAATCGCGTGCTTTAAATAACAAAAAAAAAGAAAAAAAAAAGTCATTTAACATAAAAATAATTTATTTAATTTCAGTTGATCCAATACGGGTTTACCGTAAAAATTGTTAAATATTTTTAAAAAATCCCAAGTTATCGCACTATTTTAACAATATGTATTTTTACTCCGCTTAACTCAAATATTTATTTAAGAAAGGAAAAAAAAATTAATTTTTTTTATTAAGATGAAAACGGCGATAACAAAAGTTTACAAATATATTAAAGTGAGCTTTCTTATATATTCATGTGAAAACCGATTGTTTTGTTCAAAATACGTGACGTCATGTCGGATCTAACACTTCGTAAAGCAGCTGTGGGGTTTTCATCTTAATATTCGATATGCAGAGTTAAAAAAAGGGGGTGCGTCACCATCAAAAACTTTTTGCAAAAAATTACGAGCTTGAGATACGAGTTTCACGAACGAGTTAAAGTGATTGCTCGAGGTGCATATTTGGGGTGCGTATAATAATTTATATTTTTTTAAACATTTTTATGGAATTTAAATTCAAAAACATTTCAAAAAATTACGTTGTTTAAGTTTGAATTTTGTTTACTGGGAAAAGTATACTTATTGGCAGATTCAGTTTTGCTATTAAAACTTTAATAATTAAAAAGTTTTTTCAAACGCTGACAACCCAAACCTCATGTTTTCGACATAATAAACACATTTTTGGCAGTTTTATTATAACAAAAAATTGTTTTTCATTGCAATTATATTTTTAAAAAGTTATTTGAAATATTAAATGATAATATATTTTTTTTATATTCGAAAATAAGTTCAGTCGAAAAGGAAGTTTAACATGAGTTTCAATGCAAAAACTATTAACTATATTTAGTTAAATTATTTTTATTTTTTGTTATTGTTTCTCATTTTTCAATTGCTTTTTGTATTTTGAAATTTACAATTAAAAGCAAGAACCAAGAAATTGAAAAAATTCGTTCAAAATCGAATTTTCGATGATAGTAAGACTAAATTATTTTTAACAAAACGTTTCATATAAGAAAAAAATTTTAAAAACGTTTTAAAATGTTTATTAGTTTATGTAAAAGTTGTTCAAATAAACAAAACAAATAAAAAAATGATTAAACACCTTAAAACTAGTATAATGAAGCAAACAATAATCCAATGTTGAGTTTATTATTTTACTAATACCAGCGAGCTAACAACTAACGCAATACAAGTACACCAAGTAATAAACCTTGCATTGTATAAAAATATTTAAAAAAAGTCTTTAATATGTTTTTTAAATAATACTGTACATTCTAACATCCAGTAAAATGTCTCTCCGCTTTCTCTATGCTATCTTTCTAACTCGATTGCTTCTTATTTTCAATCTTATTTACTTCGTTCTTCCTCAAACTCACATACTCTTGATCTGTCAAAGTGGAAAACGATGCTCTTTAGTGTGCTGAACTTGTCTTGGTATGTGGCCTCTATACATAGCAATTAGCCGGAGGAGACTAATTGCCATGTATAGAGTTAATTAGCCTCCTACGGCTTAAATAAATCACAAAACTAACAATAAGCCCTACATTGCAATAAAAGTAATACAATACACAAAATAAACCTAAAAAAAGTTGTGTAAAACTACAAATGAAAGCGACAAAGATTTATGTGTAATGATTAACATAATATTTAATGTTTTGATATTAGTAACTTGCTTTCATAAGAAAAATTTACAGATCTTGTAAAAAATTTATCCAATAGCTTAACGAGTAGAATAAATACTCAACTAATATATAAATATAACTATATAGTAAGTGAAACTGTCGTTAAATGAATATTTTATAACCGTTGTTGTTAGTTAGTCCCTCTTTATTTTATGATTAATATTGATTGTTTTATCTCAAAACGGTTATTTCAAAATAAACGAGTATTTCAAAATTTAGTTATAGGAAAAAAAAAAAAGACAGACACAAGCAAAAACATTTTTTTGCTAAAATGAAATTCGTATCCTCGTGTCAAAATTTGCAAAGCTGTTAGTTAATGATCATTACAAGAGTCTTTTTTCCGAACTTGTAAACAATTTTTATAAATGCTATTTACAAAGGTGTAAACTATTTTAGCGTTACGCAAACAACTAAACTTTTAATATTACCGCCGCATATTGCAACAAGCTACTGCCATACATAGCATTTGTGCATTATTTGCAGTGAAGGCAGTAACTCTTGGTATGAAATACATAAACATAATAAATTATAGTTATATGTTAAAATTATAGAACTTCAACAATACCAGTAATACTTTATTTCTTTTCCGAGAGTAAAAATATTTTTTTGTTTAATAATATATATTATTATAAGTCTCATTGTCATTTATTCGTAGTAAAAAAAAGATAGAAAAGCATTTTAAGTGAAATTTTAAAGGAACCTTCAACTTTATTTCGTAGGCAATGTAACTTCGAAAATTAAATATTAATTTACATTATAACTAAATATTAACTTACATTGATTAATAAATTTTCATATTATATTTTATTTATTTATTTATTACACACACACACATAAATTGTAGTTTGCATTATAGTTTTTACTTATGACTTAAAAAGTTTTTTATTTAGAAAAAAAGAGAATATAGTAATATGAATACGTTTCGGTTAATTGCTTTGCTGATCTTTATAAGTGTACAAGTATTGTTGGTTCACACCTTTTTAACAGGAGCAAAGTCAGGTGCATGGAAAGGAAAAAAAGAAGTTCAAATGATAAAACTTGAGAAAAATAACTTTGTTAAACGAGACTTTTATAAAGCAAATAAGGTAATCTTTTTGTTTGAAATAATAAGTAATCTATTTTTTTGAACAAATGCAATAATTTACTATTTGCGAGTTTTATTTTTAGCTAATATAATAAACAACAACAACAACAAAAAACATGTGCCTTGTAGAAAATCCTATAAAAAAGCACAACTGGTTAAAAGTGACCTTTCTTAACCAAACCTATAAATAATGTTGAATAACGTTGAATGCTAGATAAAAAAATTAATAACAAAAAACAAAAATAAAAACCTTCTAAGATGGTTTTAACTTTTTATTTTAGAAACAATCATTTAAAAAAATAAAATCTAAAAAAAATATTGTTAGTTTTTAAAAAAAATTATAATACATAGTTTTGTTCCATAAGTAAAAATTTCTGTTAACAAGCACTTAAACAAAATGATAAATATTTTAGGTAGAGTGTTGTTGTCTTTTGCAATGATGCATTCATTCAATAATCAACCCCAGATGGAAGACATCATGTCTTCCATCTGGAGTTGATGCCTTTTTTTAAACGCGCAAATATAAGAACCAAATGTAAAGGCAATGAAGTAAGTTAAATTTGTTTTTATTTAATTCCTTTTATTTATAAAATGTTTACGAAAAGTCTTTAAAACTTTGGCTGTCTCTTGAATTTTTTCAGAAAGCATATCTAATAAAGATTAATTAATATAATGACGTCATGACTATTAAACGAGTTAAATTGAGTTAGGGGTTGTCCATAAATTAGGTCATGCTTAGGTAGGAGGGTGGGAGGGAAGGCGATTTTCTGACGATTTGTTAGAAGAGGAAGGAGGGGGGGGGGGCTCGATTTTATGACGGAACATTTTTTTTTTTTTTTAGAGAAGACGTTCTTTTAGTTAAAAGAGTATCTGACCAAACCAAAACCCTCACTACATGTTGATTGTAAAATTAACTACGCCTAAATCTTACTTCGTCGATGTATACACTCTGTTACAGCCTGTTAACGGACTGTTACGGCTGTTTTTGCAGTGCACTGTCTGCGCTTTGAATTTATATGGTTCAAGTGCAGAACTTAATTTTGTTGGTGCACAAAAGTGTGCATCAACAAAAAAACAATCTTTGTACAATAACTAAAAAAAATTTTTCGATACTGTGAAACGAACCTGGAAGCCTAGTTAATAATAGTTAATAAATTAAAATAAATAATAATAGTTAATAAATTGATTTAAAGAGTTTATACCAAAACATGATATTGGAGCTAAATCAAATTTTAACTGCGTATAATTGTAATAAATTTAAAATATTTTAATTTTGTTTAAATGAAAGAAAAGCTCAGTTTAGAATATTTACCCTGAAAATATAATATGTAAACATAATATGTAGATCTTTACGTATGGTACCATACGTCATCGTAAACTCTTTATCGTTCAACAAAGATCAAACATTAAATAATTGAACAGATTATTTCAAACAATTTATAATATTTCTAACCAGTGTTATGTTTAAAATCTGTTTTCTTTGTAAAATTATTCATAAATTAATTATGTATGTGTGGCTGGATACCACAGTTGGTTAGAGCGTCAAAACGAAAAGTTAAAACCTGGACTGTTGCATGATACGAGTTCAAATCCTGCCACCGCTAACTCAGCGCTTGGGGTTGTACTTCAGTACTCAAAAATGTTGATCAATAAAAGACGCCACTTTGGATTAGTCTTAATGACTATTTGTGGCTGTCCCTATGCTAAGCCAACAATATCTTTGGATATAAGAGCATTGTATAGAAAAATATAGCACGAAAGTTCAAGTAAATAAAAAAATAAACATAAACAATTTTATGTATAATCGTTTATAATAAAACAATTTTTTTAAAGATAGATTTAACAATTATTGTTAATAACACTTTTGATATCAAATTTTAGATTAGCGTACGGCTTTGTTTATATCACAGAATGTATTCTTCATATCAATCCCATAATCACTACATAAAGTAATTGTGTTTAGAAGAGCGAACGGCTTTGCTTATATTACAGAATGTATTCTTCATATCAATCCCAAAATCACTACATAAAATAATTGTGTTAATAGCCACTCAACCATGCGCAAATTATTTAAAAGATTTGTTATTAATATAAAGCCTTACATTTTTTTTATACAACCTGATTTTCTATTGAAATCACTCATTAGAGCTCCGATAATAGTATGAGGCAAACGTTAAAACTTTGTAAATAATCAGGTAAAAGAGTTGAATGAACAAACAGGTACTGCAGACCAGAAATTTTTCTGTTTGCGAGACTAAACAATAACAACAACAATAACAACAACAACAACAAGCTATTTATTATCCATTAATAAACACTTTTAAAATAGCTATAAAAAAAACAATTTTAGTAACAATAAAAATAACAATAATAATAATAATAAATACAATAACTATAAATATAATAATTATAATTATAAAAACATAATAAGTTAAAAAAATTAATGCAAATTATAATTAGAATAATTGTCAATTACAATAATAACAATAAATAAAAAAATTAAACAATAATAAATATTAAAGTACTAATTATAATCAAGGCTACTGTGAGGGAGCAAAGAAGGTAAATTACCCGGGCGCCAAGTATAAAGGAGCGTTGGACAACCTGTTGGATTTTTTTTTTACAATAAATAGAAAACATTTTAATGAATGACAATGTGATATCTACATAGTTTTTGTATTTGATGTTGAAACTTTAGTACTCGGAATAAAAATACACATAAAAAAAAATTAAATTTAAATTCTATTATTAAAATGATCCCGCGGAAATAAATAATAAGGAAAAAGTTAAAAGAGATTTTTTAGTTTGGAGCTTGACCACCAAAGCTCTCTACTGTTTCCCAAGCTCTCTCTTGGGAACAAAAGCAGTATTCAAAAGCGGGGAATCGTTCTTTCTTAGTCGGAACGGAGGAGCTAGAGATCAATTGAGGAAACTCATAGATCGTGTAATGCAGCATCAATCCAGCCCATTGCACCAAAAATTCTAGAAAGAGGCAAACATTTGTCTTACCAACTCCATTTATATAGATTCTGAGCTCGAGAAGCGAATCAATTCTGAGACAGCTAAATAGAGAACGATTCTTCGTGGAATTTTAAATGTGACTTTTCGTGGCTTCTAGGGATTTAGCTTTTCTAGGTAACTTAATATAAAGTTCTCTCGATATCAATTTTAGTTATTTATATAATTTTTCATTACCTATTCCGTCCTTATAGCTAAAGTATTTTTTAGACATTAAATTCAATCATTTTTTCTATAACATGTAAACAAACCGTTAAAAAAAATCCGTCAAACATCAATACCCACCTTTCGAATGTACTCTTTGGACAATTTTCTCTCCTTTATTACTGTCTCAACAAGTTCAATGTTTTCACAATAAACCAATTGTTTGGAGTCTTTTTCAAATATTATTTTTTTAAATTCAAAATAATCATTTAAAAATCTATGTTCTTCACTAATTTCTCTCTTGCATTATTTTTAAATAAGTCTCTTCCCATCAAGCTTCTAAATATGGTAAGAACTTTGACTCCCTGTCTAACGGATGCTAGCTCAAAAATGGAACTTTACAAAATATAATGCCTCATGTGTAAATGTTAAAATAATAACATATGACTTAATGTTTATGCAAACTAGACAATATGCAAAAAAAAAAAAAAAAAAAAAAATAGATGTAAGAAAAGAAAAGTAGATGTAAGAAAAAAAATAGGTGTAAGCAAACACGTGTAGTGAAGTTCTACAAAAATAACAGAAGGAAAAACTTTTTTTTTATTTATTTACTTATAATCATTTTAAAGTGGAAAATGTTCCGAAAATAACCGTATATTGAATAACTAAAAGATATGAAAGTTGAAGGTGCAGAAAATTAGTGAAATTACGTAAAAGTGGAATGAGTGCAGAAAATAAACAAATTTTGAAAAGAAATAGCACAAAAATAACAAAAAGTAAAGTCAACAAGCTTGCTGCTTATTTTGACAATAATCTTAATATAACCCTTTAAAAATAGCTAAAAAATTCAAAATTTTGATCACACACTCATAAATTATTAAAAACAAACACAAACATCAAATATTGTCACCGGAAATCAATAGCAAAACAGTCTGAGCAGCAAAGAGTTGTCGCTCACACTAAATACGGATACTTGTATAAAAAGTTTTATAAAGAAAATTTAATTTTAGATGACGAATATAATGTTAATTTGTCAAACTCCACAGTTGTTGTGAATGATGGGTGTTACTCCTGTGACCCCAATTCAGACCAAAAGTACAAAGTAAAGCTAAGTTCGAAAAGAAAGTATTGGTTTAGCTTGCAGTTAGTCTCCATAGTATGACTAGACCCGTAATCGTGCAATCTGGCTATTCTATTAACAAAAATACGTACAAAAAAGATTGCGTTGAGAGTATTTTGATTCCGTTCATGCGTAAACAATATCCTTATGACAATTACGTTTTTTGGTCTGACTTAGCTTCGGGTTATTATGCCAAAAATTTCGTTGGATGTTTGCTGGACAGTGAAAATATCAATTATGTTCTTAAGAAAGATAATCCTGGTAACTGTCCTGAGATAAGGCCAATCGAAGACTTTTAGTGTTTTTTTAAACTCTTTTATTTCCGAAATTGGAATTTTTAGAAAAAGTGCTTTTGCAGAGCTTTTAGATTGTTCAACGGCAGTGGCTTTAGATTCGCCCTTGATTTTAGCTCCCCCCTACTTTTGAGCATTAAAATTCGGCACCTCGTATATCTTAAATCAAAAGAAGTTTACTATTTATTATAGTATATACAATTTATATATTTTGATTATAGTTTTTTATTTTTCATATATTTTATATAAGTTTCTAAATTTTAAATTTTAAATATTAAATCAAGGTTTGCCCTATCTTTGTCAAGTTCTTCTGTAAAATTTTGTCTTGTCGTTGTGAGAGTCAAAAGGTAGGGTTATCCTCTTCCAATGACAACACTACACCTTTTACATGTTTTTATTGTGCCAAGTGGTGATGTCTTTACTTTTTCCAACTTGATTCTCCATGTATTTTATATGTTGATCATGGAGTAATTGTAGTTCGAGCAATTTCACAGATGTCACAAACACAGAATGATTGGTTTCTGGTAAGTATACTTACTTTAACTTTTGAGAAATCATAGGGTTCAGAATAATATTTTTATCTTCTTTATTAAGTCTTTCTAATGCTTTTTTAGATTTAGTACAAGTGCCATTTGGAAAGTTTTGATTGTTCAAATCAAATAATTTTAAAAAGAACTTATATATTCTGCTTAATTATTTAAAATTTACCATAAAATTAGGGCGCCAAAGTCCAAATATTTGTTAGGGAAAGTCATTTTTAAAATTCTCATTAAGTAATAAAATCTTTTAACATTCAGAAGTTATGACTTCGTAAAGTGAACAATCCCCTTTAAATAAAGGAGGTTTCAAGCTTTCCTTGGTCGCCATTTTTAAATTTTAAATGATTTCCACAATTTTTTTTTTTTTAATTTCAAGCGCCCCAAGAAGTCCTTACAATCTTAACACAGAGCACCACGAACAGAGCACCAATGAAAAGAAGTTCATTTGTGTATTGTTCCCAGGCTCTTTTCACTTTAATTTTTTAAAAATATTTTTATTTGTTACCAGTATCAATATAATAAAATTTAAAGTTTGCACCATATCTGGAAGTGACCTATCTTAAATACCAAAAATCCATGACCTGTCCGTTTAATCCTTTTGCTATTTAAAAGACGTCTACAGAATATTTTTAAAATTTGGGTTTTAATTGTACAACGCATTTTTAGTTTTTAGCTGATGCTTAACAACTATATACTTAGTTTGATAATAAAGTTGAAACTAGTTGTAAAGTAACCTAAAGTAACTTAATTATTCGTAACAAAGCTTAAACTTTAATTTTACATTTAACAAAACACCATTTAACGGAACAGTTAACGGAACAGCTAAATTGTCCGAAAATTTTCAGCAAAATACATTTTATCAAAATAATTTTAAAATAAGATTTGAGTTTCAGTACTCTTTTGTTAATATTGGCAAACTGTAACATTTTTTTTAACCTATTATTTTGCTTTAAAAAAGTTTATTTTTAGGCATATTTTCTCCCTCTCTTTCTTGGACATATTTACTCTCTCACCCTAAAACTGTTTTATCTTGAAAGTGGTTATATAATTTTTATTTTTAGATCCGCTAAAAAAATATCAAGAAAATAATTTGGCATCTCGTAAAACAAACAGAATGTATAAAAAATATGAAGAAAATAATTTGGCATCTCGTAAAATAAACAGAATGTATAAAAAATTTGTATGAAAAGATGTATTAAAATTAGAAGTTTTTTCTTTAAACAAATTTAGTTTAAAAAAAATTTAGAATAAAAAAAAACTTATCAAAACAAGAGTTTTACGCAGTAAATTTTACTTTTATTTATTTTACTTTTATTTATTGTCTCTTGTGTTTTATACTTTTAATTGTTTATAATTTTTTGTTATTATTATTTTTGTAATTTTATTTATTTATTTTGATTAAGTTTTTTTTTTGATTAAGGGGAACTCATCCCCTTTGAAATTTCAAGCGACGACCTAAAATTTTTAAAATTTTTTTGAAACTTTGTTTAAATCTGATTGGAATCTGATTCTAGTTTAAAACTAAAAAAAAAAAATTAAAATAAATTCGCATACTTGCTATTTATGTAAACATTGTCAAAAATGTTATTCGTCTACAACAATTTTTTTCTATTTCCCCAATATTTGCAATACTTTCTCACAGAAGTTAAATCCTAAATAAATTTATTTGAGTTAATGAAGTATTAATTTTTTAAATTGCTTCCATTCTAGTCTGGAAAAGCTAAAATAGTTGAACTTTTTTGTCATGTCAAATTTATTCCACAATCACACGACAATATACAGTGCTATTTATAATGCGCCGACAATATACATGACAATGTATATTGTCGGTGAAACTTTTATTTAAATATTTACATATGTAGATCATGTAAGAACTGTTATAAAATTTATATAGTTAAAAGAAAAATTATTTAATAAGTAACTTAGTTTCTATAATTTCATAATTTCTTACTGCTTTCAGTTAGTTGGTAAGTATAAAAATAATTTCATAATTTCTTACTGCTTTTAGTTAGTAGGTTTCTAAGAGATTTTAGAGCTTTTAGATTCTAATAGGAGAAGGGGGCGATGTACACCCTATCCCCTGTATCCGTCTCTGATTGTATTAAAAAAAAAAAAAAAATCAACTAAAAAAGTCTTTTATGTCACGTTTATATCAAAAATGACATGGCCTGTAATAACAATATATAAATTTGAGGTCTACAAAATAATTTTTTTTTTCTTATTCTAATCTAAAATATTATTTTTGAACATCTGGTGACTTTTTGAGCACATGATTGTGAAGGGAATTCCAAAGCTTTAATTATGACTCTACATAAAATGTTATTTATACTATTATGATGAGAGCTTTCGGGTGGTAGCATCAATTTATTGCAATATTTAAGTTGAAATGGTGAACTTTTCTTTATAAACAAACAGATCCATCTTTGGGTCTTTATGACAACTCCCAACCCCCCATCCCCCAGCAAAATAACGGCTAAGGTCTCTCCAGTCTCCCCCCTCCCTAATCATTTGCCTCCTCCTCCTTTCTCAAAAATAAAAATTCAAACTTCAACACAATTGTTTTTATATCACTTATTAAATATTACTCCATTAGGTCAAAACTAACAAATTAATGTTATAGATAATTATAGTAAATTAATCTAAAGAATAAGCAAGGACCAATTGATTTTTTATTTTTAGATATTTTTAAAACAATTCAGATGATAAAACAAATTATAGATATTTTTAAAGGATATGCCGTTTTCATCTAGGTTACATTTTTACGTTATTAAATAGATTATTTTAATATTTGTTAGCTGCCTTTTGAATTAGAGAAATAATTGATCCCATCTTCGACGTTGGTTTCCTTTAGAGAAACACTTTTAATTTGAATTGTTGTTGCATTCCCAGTGAATTTTGGTATCTCAAAGGACGTCAATATGCCGTATTCATCATGCGTTCTTTTTCGTTTCTAGTCAGCAGAGTACAAGACTCAGCTGCTTTGACACCAATCAGATTTAAAAAATTGCCGGCTCATGAGATATATTTAGCTATTGTATTTAGCTTATTGATACTTGCTTGCAAGCAAAGTGTAGACCAAAGATATATAGTAACATTTTCATACAACTGCACATGGCAATCATTAATGTTTATGCCGTGCATCTCTTTTCGAAATCATGTCTTTTTGACGATGTTAAACATATCAGCCTCGCAGTGATTATTGGAATAAATGATAAAAAACGTTCATACATACCGAACAACAAAAATGAGTTGATTTACACGCGAGACGTTTACAATTGAATCAACAATGATTCGGTAATATTTAGCAACTTTAAATTCAATAGCTGCAGGAAAGATACTTAACAGTATAAAAAAATACTATTTTAAACTTGTCAAGTGCTTTTTTTAACGCAAATTTTAACTGGCCGAGCTTTTCGCTAATGTTAGCTGCTAGGTAGGAAGTGCTACTATTACTTTGATTGAAGTTTATATTTTTTAGCTAGAAACAGTTTATCTTTAACTAGTAACTCTAATAAGCTAAGGAAATGCCCGTTAATACATTTTCTTAGCTTTCCTTAGTCTAATCAACGAAATGGTTATCTTCTGATGCGTCATACGTAGAATAAAAAAAAAAAAAAGAAGCAAGGTAAGCAGTAAACACTGCCATTCTTAGTAGAATATGTCAGTCTATTGTGTTGTTTCCTTACTCCATTTACAAGTTTTTAAAAAACTAGTAAATGGATAACTAAACTTTATTTTTTTATTACACAGCCTAGTTTCATCTTTGTTTTTCAAACGCTACAATACGTTTTTCAAGGTCACGCTCAATGAATCAAGATTCATTGACCTTGAAGAATCCGATAACCTCAAAGTCAAAAGAGAAGTAGGAGCAGCAACTTTGGCTGGCAATCAAATGCTTGGTTGTCTCAAGAAGATATTTTGGGGTCCGTAGCATCCAGCTTTGAAAAAAATAGTACCAGCTATACTTTCAACCGTATTTAGAGTTTAGTGTACAAGTCTGGTGTTCACGTATAAAATCGGAAATCACCCTTTTGAACGTGTCCGAAAATGTGCAACAAAGACTATATCGTTGATTAAACATTTGTTTAATTAACGATATAGTTTTGTTATGAAAAAAGACTACAAATACTCGGTCAAACTGCACTCGAAAAACGCAGAATTTGTAGTGACATTATACTGCAATACAAAATCGCTATTCATTTACAAGAAGTTAAGTTTTACATTCTAGAAGTACAGCCTTTCTTAGTAAATTCACAATATATTATGAGTAAAAATAGTAAATGTTTAAAACCATAACTGATCAAAAGTTATCCAGAATTTCAGCACTTTTTCACAAACCGTGTTACGAATCAATGGAACAATTTAGCACAGGATGTAGTTTATGTACCCACCGTGTATTTTTAAAAAAAAACATGTTTAAGATACTGCTTCGGCTGCAGCAATGTTTATCGTCAGCATAGAAAAACCTGGTAATCTTTCCTTCATCAATACTAAAATTTCTATGTATTAATTTTATTGATAACAGTAATAGATTAAATAAATAAACTTAAATGATGATAGAAACCTATTATTTCGCAAACTTTTTAAGACGCGAGATAACTTTAATTACTAGCAAAATTTGCATACTTATAAGAAAGGGCGGATCTAGACCATGTCATAAGGGAGGGGAGAGGGATTAAATATTTTTCGATTTGGAGGACGCAGACAATCTAGTAAGAAAAGAGGGGGAGGACAGTTTTCCGATTAAATGGTTTGTAAGCAAGCAATCACACAATTTTGAATTTGCACCACATAACTTTATTTAAATTATAATTTTATTTAGACAGCCTAACTGTAGCTGTGTTTAATATATAAACCTTCAAAAGTAAAAAATTTCAAAGCTTAAAAAGCTTTGAAATTTTTTCACCCCAACCAGCCCATTGTTCCCCCTTTCCCTCCTTCCTATGGATCCGCTTTGTTTATAAGAAAAGTTGCGCTATCCCTTGCGTAAGCAATACAGCATGCGAATTTTTTTTTTCCAACATTCATAAAAACATATCTTGTTTTAAATACCTTGAATAGATTAAAAATAAAATATAAAAAAAAATAAAAAGAACATTTAAAAAAAATTGGTTCCTTGCTTTTAGTTTGATTTTGATTTTTGTAATGCCACATTTTTAGATACATATTTTATATTTTAACATATTAGATGTTTATATATTTATGAATCATCCCAAAATAATTTACTTGTTTTCCTGTATAATGAAATTTCGTTTAATTACTATAAGTTTAGGAATTGTTGATTGTATGCTTATTTACGGGACGCAAAAAAACATCGCATTAAACCTGTTGTTCTCATTTGAGTATTTCAAGGCAAATATTTGACCTACATGAACTTATATTGTATACAAATTGTATACAAAAAATATATATGTAAAAAAATTTATATATATTCTTTTTAACCTACATGAACTTAAATTGTATACACTGGCTTCTTAAATTAAATTAAGTAGTTATTGCTCTGCGTAAAATTATTCAAAAAATTGTTTTAGCTATTTACTTATATATCTTAAATCAAATTAGTTACTTACGTTTCTTACGGGGACAATTCTACGCTTTTATCCAAATGTATTTTAGCTACCATTTACAGAGAAAGTATGACCAAGGACGTATAAATAGATTTATAACTATTATATCTATATATCCTTGGTATGACGCAGGACTTTAATTTGAAATTAAAAACTAAAAAATAACACTAACAACATTATTAATCAAAGTTAAAATTTTTAAACATATGGTAACCCAATGATTACTTGATTTATGTTCGAATATATTTTTTTATTTTTATTGAATTAACTCACTTGAGCTTATATATATATATATATATATATATATATATATATATATATATATATATATATATATATATATATATATATATATATATATATATATATATATATATATATATATATATATTATATATCTATACTACAAAGTGATATATGAATGTATATTTTATTTTTATTTTGCTGTACTTATAGTTACTTTATAACTTATTTTGTTTACACTTGTATAAGGTTCTGACGATAGGTTCTTTCTGGGTCTTCTTTCAGATGCCTAGTTTTTCAAACGTTAGTAGTATTTTCCTACTTTATAATTTGCATTAGTTTTTTTATTTACTCTCATAATATTGTAAAAACGAACTAACAAATGTAAACAATA